ACTGCTTTCCACAGAGATTGGACTAACTTACCTTCCTACTAACAGTGTAGAAGTGTTCCCTTTTCTCTACAGTCAAGCCAGCACCTGTTGTTATTCGATTTATTAATGATAGCCATCCTTACTGGTGTTAGGTGGTATCTCATTGTAGTTTTGATTTGCATTTCTCTGGTGGTTAGTGAGGCTGAGCATTTTTTCATGTGTTTGTTGGCTGTTTGTATGATGTATGACATTTCAAAGACATTATTGATTTTCAAATTCTTTTCAAACAAAATCCATCTTTTTAATTAAATATCTAAAGTTCCAAATTGTTCTGTTCTACTCTAAGCTCTGTGAGAGCAAGGATGATGTGTCTTCCCTAGAATATAATGGGCAGTTGCACAAAATTTTGTTTAATAAATAACAGAAAAAAAGGATGAATATTATTTTAATGTCATTCATACTACCTCAGTGGCTGACTGATATTCATAAAAGAGAGGCTCTAGCATTTCAATTGCTACATAATAGCAAATTCTGAGTAGCCTTTTGTACTACCTGAGAACTTGGAGCTTTGTTGGGACTCCAGCAACATATTTTTGCCATCCATGCACAGATACTAATAGTGCTGGTGTTCTACCAATGTTATCATGGTGGATTTCTCCCCTTGTTCTATGAAATAGGTGGCACAATACAACAGCTCTCATCAAAGATGGCTGAAGAAATGCATCCTCAACTAAATGAAACTGAGAGCCAAACAGCCTACATCCTGATGGACCACATGACCAGCACTGCTGGCTGTAACAGGCCATTTACTTGCTATCTCACCCTGTGCCACGGCCTATTGTGTCATCTTGCCTCACTGCAAAATCAAGAACGGGAAGGAGTGGGAACATAGGCATGTGAGGCGTGATCAAGCATATGCACTCTACATTTCTAGCTCTTTCGAAATCGAGCCACCATTTGCAGAGAAATGAAAAGAAAATACAGCTTTTACTACAATAAAAAAGAATGATCCCCCTTCCCCAAAAGAAAGCTTTTCTCCATCTAAATAAACATCTTTTAGTCCTTTCCTGTCAGTGATATTCTACTGAATTTTAGATGACAATTAATTCCTCTTCCAGAAGATTGATGAAAAATTTTAAGATGCTAAAAGTCTAGGATGTGACATGAATATAATCATGTTCTGACTTATAAAGCCATAGGTCCTGACCTCCCACTTCCATTCCACCCCATTAACCTGCACGATACCTGGTGAAGAAGAATGGGACTGGTGCAGTTTCTTTGAGCCCGATTCTGAATTCCTCCCACAGACCGAATGGCACGCTAGAGTTGGCTACAAGCACAGAAAATTTGGCCTGAGAAAAGCCAGCAGAATTTGAGACTTTTAACAGCTGGTGAGAGCAACAATGTTTTGATGCATTTTTTTAAATGGTCTCAGAAATTCTAAAACGAGCAGAACCCTTCTCTGACCCTAAACAACATATTGGCAGACAGACGGATAAAATATAATTTCTAATTTTTAAAAGAAATATTTATCTTTAATAAACGACTTGAGCCTTTTACCAGCCAAGCACTGTCTCTCTTTGTCCTCTCTGGGCAACGTGATCACAGTCGTTTCTATTCAGCAGTTATATATCACCCAAGCACTTTACCATCCACAAAGGCAGGGAAGCATCTCAAATGTAGCACTGGGAGCAGGATTCGGGGTCTTGGCTTGAAGCCACAATAGCAGCTTATGTCCCCCCTAATGTGGATGAATGGATGTGAGTCAGGAAGTGGTTCTTGTCTTGTCGCAGCTGAGGTCTCCTACTGACACTCATCCAACCAGGTCCCAGCCTCCTCTCATCCTGCTCAGCTTTGCAGGGATTCACAACATGGTAATAAGAGGCCCCTCTGCACTCCGGCCACAAAACCTCAGGAATGTAGAAACCTGTTCTTCTCCCAATGAGTGCGGTAAGCCTGGCCCGATTACTCATCCAAACTCATATGTGTAAAATGACTGCTGATGGTGATGATGTCGGTGATAAAAACATCAGCCAACATTTATTGAGTGTCCATTCTGTGGTTATTACAAACATGAAATACTCATTCACCAAGGTGCAGTCAACAGAGCAAGGGTTGTAGAGTCAGACAGAACTGGAGTCAGATTCGTGCTGTGTCACTAGATAACTCAATGACCTTGGGGAAGTCCTTCAGCCTCTTTGGGCTTCATTCTCATCTGATAAACGGGAATACTTTTGTCCACTCTGGCCTCCTGCCGTAGATAGTGCAAGTTTACAGAGAAACGCCAGAGATAAGAGACATGAAAGCTCATCATAAACTGAAATGTATTCTTCACATAGGCTCTGGTCCAAGGTCACACAGCTGGTTTGTGGCTAGACTAGAACTAAGGACCAGGTGTCTGAACTCCCAGGCCATACAGACAGAGCTGCTGTTCCCCTTAGCTGGGCAGAACAGAGACCACCAGCTGGCAAGGAGAGGCTTCTTGAAGCCTGGCACAGGAACTCTCAAAGACTAGCTCTCTCATTTCTAGACACCAGCTCTTCACCCTCAAGAATCACCGCCAGTGCAGTTGCCTTTGCCTCTAAATTTTCACCTCCCACACACACGTACATGCTCACATTCTCTCTCTCTCTCTCTCTCTCTCACACTCACACACACACACACACACACACACACACACACACACACACACGTGCGCACGCACACACACCTTAGCTCTTACGGATTTTCAGAACTCATAGAACTGATCCTACAAGGAGGGATTTGTCAACATCCCAGAAATTTCTGGAACCCTTGGGCTATCACTATTCTTCAAGATGATTATTTCTGGAGGTAGGCAAGAATGAATAAAAAGGTGCCCTTGAAGTAGCAATGTGTTTCTCCAGAACATTTTATTTCAGTTTTGCAAATACTGCAAAATCCAGTAACTGGCTTTTAAAATTGTGTCCTTTTGTATTAGACTAGATGGCACTGTGGTATCACCCTTTTAAGAGTGTAATTTTGATTTAATTTGGGACAATCCAGGAGGTTTGAGGGGTCCTGTTTATCTTCTGGAGAATGTCTGAAGAAATCTGCCAGAGGACAATGGCCATCTAAGGGATAAGCTAGACTACATAAATAACGTGTGTTTATAGACATCACACCCTGACCTACATGTTCAAATGGATCGGTAAAGGGACATGTGCCTTGTGGAACTCCAGACAAGGTTACAGCTTTCATGGTGACCAACACTGTTTCCACTTCTCTGCCTCTGTAATGGCTGTAGAATTCTACTTTTGCCCTAAAGATATTTTTAAATATTATCACCTCTCACTACATCTGAAAGTTTTATCAGCATGAGAAATTATTTTCAATATTTCCAAATTGTTTGGGAACTTCTTAAACACCAAAATCTTGTTGTGACAATGATTTACACAATTCTTGCAATGAATTGAGGTGGCAACGTTCCTGAGGCTAAAATTTTCTTTGGGAGGAAAAAAATCTGTTAACGCTGGAAAATAAATATAAGTTGAACAAATTCTGCCAGAATTCCAGCATTTGAGAAAGGACACTGTAAACTGAGGGAAGGGAAAGTGAGACGGGAGGCAGGGGGTAATGTTGCCTCTAAAATTCAATGGTGACCACAAAGTCAGAGGGTTCTATAGCTGTATTTTCTGTACCTGGAGGGAAGAAACTGCACTGGCTGTTGTGTTCTAATGGCCACCTGCAAAGCACCACCTTGTCCAGGGTTCTGGGTGCCCCATAAGAGAGTAAGAGTGGGTCCAGGCAAGCAGCCACTGCAGCAGCCTTGAGGGTCCCTGTAGTCACTCAAATTGGGAAGGAGGGAGCACAGCCATGTCCTTGCCCTCCTAGAGACCCCAGTCCAGAAGCCCCCTGACAACTAAACGCACCGCGCCCATTCCTTTGACTCCCTGCTCCAGGTCAGATTTGTTTTAGGGAGAGTGGTGAAACAGTAGCCCTGATTGGAGGAACGGCACCCCAAGGCACCATCCCCATCACCCCTTTTACAGCACCCTATGACCTCAAGCAACTGGACATTGCGGCTGAAGGGTTGAAAATGCCCTCGCTTCTAGCTACAGACTAGTCATAAATCAGCTTTTTCCGCATCAACCCCAGGCTTCCAGAAACATGACTGGCGGCGCCCCACGCTGAGGCTCAGGCTATTTTTTTGTAAATCAAGAGAGCTTCCTCCAGGCTGAACCCCACATGGGGTCTGGGGCAGCGTCCCAGCCTGCCCCTCCGGCCAGCAGGGTATCCCAGCACTCCCAAAGCGCTGCGGATGTCTCACGTGCTGCCAGTAGCTAGAGGTGCAAGTCTAGGAACCACGAGCTCTCCCTGGGTGTCGGAAAACAGCGTCTGGGGGAGCCAGAGGAGAAGAAAGGAGGAAAGCGGCTATAAAAGCCGGGTAGGAAGAGAGAAACGAGGGTGAGAGAGGAGTGAGAAAAAAGCGAGTGAGGAAAACGGAAAGAGAAGGAGACAGCGAGCAACCAGGAGCAGACAAGATCTGGGGCATAAGAGGGAAAGAGAGGGAGAAAAAGGCAAATAAAGAAAGCGAGAAAGAGGCGGGAGGGAAAAATGCGGGCGCAGAGAAGAGACTTCGGAACCCGGGTGCAGAGGAGCGGAGAGGAGGGACCCAGAGAAGCTGCAAGCAGAGCGCGGTTCTTTAAGGCTCTCCAGTGCGGAGTCTGAGTGCGGTATCCTGTCCCGGCGGCGGCCAGGGGGGCGCTCGTTCCAGGAGACTCAGCCACTTCCCCTGCATGCACTCCCGACCCCCACACAGGCCAACCTGCGGACAGATGAGCCGTCCCAGGCTGGGGAGAAAAGGCTTCTTGAGGCCACCACGGCGCAGCGAACTCGCGCGCCAGGGCGCCGGGCGCCTGCTCAGCCCAGGCGCAAACGCCAGGGCACCCAGGTGCGCGCTGGATCCCCGGTAGCCGCCGGCCGCGCCTCCTCGCCCTGGGCCCGCCTAGGCCCAGGTCCGCTCTGGCGCTTCGGGGTTCGGTTCGACCGCGGGCCCGCACTCACCTGGACGGTCTCAGCCTGGCGTCGCGCTTGCCGTCCACCACGGCCGGCACGCAGCTGGTGAGCTCGGTCCAGTCGGCGTGCAGTCCGCAGCTCCAGCCCGTAGAGAATCTGGAGAAGAGCCAGGTCTCCCGCTTACCCGGTCGGTGGCAAGTGCATTTCTTCTGACCCACGCGGCACTCACACGGCTGTTCCAGCTGGATGTTGCGCACCAGGTGGCGGCCGAAAGTGGTGCCCCCGGTTTTCTGGATGTGCAGGAACACGATCAGGTCATCGCCCTTGATGTCGAAGTCTACCTTGCGCAAGAGGTCGCCGCGGGTGAAATTGTAGCGGGGCACGAACCTGGCGGAGCTTTCATCTTCGGAGCGGTACGGGTCCGGCACCGGGGAGCTGAACGCCTGCAGGCGGAGGAGCTGGCATTCTGTGCCGGGGCACACGTATTGGAGGACGATCACGGCAAATAGGAAGAGCATCACCAAAGCCAGCAGCAGCTTGTTAGATTTCTCATCCATGTTCCCGACGCTGGGGGAAACCCAAGCTCGTTACGTCAATCCCGCAGCTCCGTCCGCGCTCGCAGTGCCCCCGCGCCGCCCCCTCCCCCTGGGGCCGCGGTTGCACCCCTTTCCCCCCTCCCCTCCCCACCGAGTACTCCACGGCGGCGGCGCCCTTCCCCGCTTGCTTCCTTCCTTCCCGGCAGGCTCAGCGCTGTGGCTTCTGCCGCACTCACCCCCACCCCGACTCCTTCCCGCTGGCCGCCTGCCCCCTCCCCCCATCGGAGGTCGCCAGAGCTCCCCAGAGCCCCTCCGCGGGGTTTTGTACCCGCGGGACCCCTTCTGTTCCAGTCACCCCACTCCTCAACTCACGACCCGGTTGCAAGCCCACGCGCGTCTCGCTGCACTCTCTGTGACTCCCATCCCCATCCCGCTTCGCCCACCGGACTCCCCCCGGCTCTTCTGCCTCCAGCCCCCTTGGCGCGCACGCCTCTGCCGGGCGATCTCCCCACGCGCCCTGAACCCTGCTCTTCCCCGCGCGCGGCTGCTCACCCGGGTACCCTCGAGTGAGCTTGCAACCGGGCGTTCAGAGTTTCCCCTGGGGAAAGGAGCCCGCCGGCAACCCGACTTGCAAGCGGAGACTCTGCGCTGCCGGTGCCTGCGGAACGGCGGCTAGGGAGCCGCAGCATGGCCAAATGTGCGCCGCGCCCCTCTGGAGCCCCTTGAGCCCGGCCGCCACTGGCCAGCTGGAACTTTGCGCCCTTTCCTCCCCTCCCAACGGCTTTCCCTCCCCGCACGGCCCCTGAGCGCCCTGGCCCGGGAGCAGGAACCCTGCTTTCGTCCAGAACGTACCTGGCCAGGGGGCCGAAAATCTTGGAGAAGATCGCACCGAGCACGTGCTTCAGCGAGTGGCCCAGGGCGGCCAGGCCCCGGGTGAGCAGGGCCCGGCAGAGGGAGCCCAGGTCCCAGCGTCGCCTGAGGTCGTGCATCCGCCTGCGGCGGCCTCGGGACAGCAGCGCGAAGAGCGGGGTGCGCGCGGCTCCCGCCGGGGAGGAAGAAGCCTTTAGGGGCTCGTCCGGCAGCAGCTGAGAGTGGAATCCTTGAGACACACCCCTAGGAGGGCCCGCGCGGACTGAGGCGGCGACTGACCCGGGCCGGCTTGCTGCCAATTCGGCCTCTACTCTGGAATGCCGGCGGGGACAGGTGGTGCGGGCGGGCGCTCTTCGCTCCGGTTGCAGCGGCTGCCCAAGCACCCGGACTGCACACGCAGGCAGTGCCATTCCCCCCTTCAGGCAACTCAGGGTACTAAGGATCAGGAGCGAGCTTGAATTTATATAATAATGCCTCACACCCAAGAGCTCGAGCCACTTCAGGAGCAGAGGACCTGGGTTTTCTCCTGTCTTGGAGAACGGAGGTCACTCCAGTGAGCGCATCACTCCACTTTGGCTGGTAATTTCAATCTCCCCTAAAATAGCAAAGGCGCAAATTGGACCTTTTCCCTCTCTCTTTGCCAATTTCCATTCTCCAGCGGAAGCGGGGGCTTTTTCTGAAAAGGTAAGTCAGCATGAAAAAAAAGCATGACCAAAAAACATTACAGAATGGGAATCTGAGCTTTTTCAGAGCATAGATTCTCTCTTACTCCTCTCCTCTTGCCTGAATCTTCTGCACTAAGCTCTGTGCCTGCAGAGAAGCTTCACTCACATAAGGTTTATTGAATGAATGGATACATGATTAAACACTACAACAAAGTCAGACCATCTAATCCACAGTTACATGACACATGAGGAAACTGAGGCTCAGAGAGGGCTAGGAAATGTGCCAGGGTCACACAGCACAGCTCCAGTCTTTGGACCCAGGAAACCAGGCACCATCCACCTATTTCTTGATGCTACCATCACCTCCTCTAATAACTGGTACACATCTTCTTCAAGCCCCAGTATAAAAAAGGCTCTTTTCTGCTGCAGGACCAGAGATGCAGGGATTAACAAGGAAAGAGAATGGATGTTCTTTCATGGAAGGACCCTGGGAACTCAGGACTCAGACTGTCCTCATTTTATTTATTAAAGCAGTTTGCTGTACATCCGGACACTGGTATTTCCGTGACTGAGTGTGCACTTCCTCCAGTCTCATTGCTGTGGAAGGGGAATGGGGTGACAGCAGTGTTTCAGAGCAAAGCTGTTGGTGCTGGGGCCACTGAGTGAGGGTGGGTTGTGACCTGAGTCCTGGGGTGGGGATATGCCTGTTCAGAGACAGGATCTCCCAGTATCTCCTTCACTGAGCTCTGCTCTGTCCCTTTCCTGTTCTCTCTGTGCCATGAAGCAGCAAGCCTAACACTGATCTGAGAATCCTGGGAAATCTGTCACTTCCTTGCTGGGCAGCCCTGAGATAATCACTTGCCCTTCCTGAACCTCTGTTTCCTTGTCTGTAAGATAGGATTAGCTATGTCCTCCATTTTGACCAACTGAGTCACTGTAAGGAAGAAACGTAGAAACCTTTAGTCCACTCCAAATGTGAGACTCTATTTATCTGCTGCTCTAAGCTCAGTTGTGCCAACTGAGTCACAAGCCAAATAAAGAAGGGACCCTCTTCAGGCAATTTCACGACTGTGCTCCCTGTCCTTACCTCCCCTCAGAAGTCCCAGCCCTAGCTGGACTTCCATGGGCCCCCAAGATTACCAGGGACAGCAAGGGACCTTTCTTCCTGCTGCAGACATAAGGGATAGTGGACTTTTGGAAAGTCCTGTATTTCTGGCATTCCAGTCATGTCCTGTCCTGAGGCTCCAGGGAACTCTACAGACAATGAACTTGTACTAAGAAGCCAGATGCAGCTACTTACAAAGTAGACCTCTCAGCTCCCCTGGTGCCCAGGCTGGTGGGACTGGACCAGCTCCCACTGAAGACAGGTAAGGGATTGAGCCAGGGGAGTGGGACAGTATGGGGGTAGCCCAGGGGCTCAGCTTGCCGGCTGCCCCTGCCTTCTTCTTGACGGTCCACCTGCAGCCAACCTCTTTATCCTGTCCAGTAGGTGGCTCTCATGATACTATATAAGGATTCCCAGCCTTTACACCACCATTATACATAATGATATTCAGGAAAATACTTCTGAAACAGGTGGGTTACACATTCAAGCTCCCAGCAACTAACTCTGGAGCTTCTATTCTAAGAGGGATCCATGGGATTAGAACACCAGAAAGTGCCTTGGGTGGAGGGTAGGGGAGATGGTAAGGATTTTACCCATTCAAGTTGTGAAAAGGAATGTGTACACAGGCCCATGTGCACACACACATGCTCACATGCTCATGGTCCAGCTTTCAGCGAAAGGGCCAATAGGTTGGTAGTTGCAGGGCAAAAGGGACATGGTGGGGCTGTGTAGTTCAGTTTCTGAGATCTAATATGTCACTAACACTCTAAGTTAAATATATACAACAGCTCACAGGAGGATATTTACATTTACAAGTCCTTCCTCCACCCTCCACATGCTGTGAGGAACAAATAAAGGAATTTCTTATCACCATAAGAGACATTAATGTATCATGACTCCTGGAAGTGGAAGAAAATTGTCTTTTAAGGGAGCAGGGAATCCAATAAGTCTCAGAAGATTCCTCTGGGTTTGAAGAGGCTCTCTGCAGAGAAGCAGGAAATTTTTCCTATGTGTATCACAAGAGCTGTGTTCTCCTGAGGCTGGATATTCAGGAGGCCTCTTGCAACCTGGGCTGGGCCCTGCTCCCAGGATCTGGTCCCTCTTAGGAACTGACTAACAAAGGCCCTAATGCTCCAGAATTTGACTTTTGTAGGAGAAAGTGGGAGTGGGAGACAAAAGAGGAAGACAACTGGCTGAATTATCAGTCTTTGGTTTTCCATCTCATTTTTTAAACCAACCTGAGTTGCTACGTTTACATGTATTTCAAATGCAGTGCCTGGAAGGAGAGGAGAACCCTGCATTCTTAGCAGGACTTCTAGTTATCTCCACAGTGTGGTATGATTTTCATTATTTTCCCAGAACTGTCTTTCCATGGTTTCCAACAAAAGGTTGATGATTCTGGGAGCATAAAGGTCAGCCTGGCTTGCATACTAAGCAGTGTACTTCCAGACATGCATCTGCTTGCTGTAGTCCGAGACGACAGTGGGAGGTAATTGCAAGAGCACAGGCCTGGGAGTCCACAGACATGCGCCCATGTCTTGACTCTGACACTAACGAGACCCTGTGTGACTATCAGGAAGACACTTGCTCACTCTTGGGCACAACTTCCCTGTTTGAAACATGGCAAGGTTGGTATTGTGATTCGAGGGACACTTTCCTGATCTGACATTCCAAATCGCATGCTTACTGTCTTCCTTCAGGGCCAAAATGCTACCAAACACTCGGCCTCAACCCAGGGAGAAAGCCTTGGTCCTTGATGAACTCTGTAGTACCCACGTCATTGGATCTCACTAGGCCAGCATCAGCTGAAATTGTTCTGAGCCTATATTACAAGGGTGACAGCAGGGTCTCCTGTTCAAATTAGAAGAGAAATAGTGGAAACTTGATACTAAATAAATAGTGGCACTCTTTAGGTAGCTAACATGCCTTCCCCTCAACTTGAGTATTCTCTTCCACCCTGTCTTTACAGCTATCTCTAATTTTTTGAAAATGTTCATACTCTCAATAATAGACAATTTTGTCACAAAGATTGAGGGTATGCAAACTAGTGAGTTGATTCATTTTTGAAAAAATTATGGAAAAATTTTGAAAAAAATCATTTTTGAAATTTTTTTTCCTTATTCCAGTGGCTTTACAGGGTACAAATAGTTTTTGGTTGCATGGTTGCATTGTATAGTAGTGAAGAGGTCTGGGTTTTAGGTTTATCCTAGGTGTCTCTGCAGACTTAGTGGACAGCGGTACTTAATGAAAACACGGTCCTGCAATTCAGGCTTTAATGTTACAAACAGGTTGGAGTGTTATATATATCATTCTTCATGGTCATCTATTTTTCACCCACAAAACATTGAGTTTTATTTGTCTGGCTTTACAAAACATGAAACACAAGGAATTTAGAAAGGAGGTACACACTGGAATGGGGTTCATAGTATATCCATTCCTCTGAACATACAGCCCGATGACTGTCACTCTCCTGATGAGAGATTCTCACCATTTCTCTAAAAGTGAAATTCCCACTTCTCACTGACATGGAATGGAAGAGTCAGCTCATACAGGGCTCTTAAAGCTACAGTAAGCCAGCTGGGCGCAGTGGCTCACACCTGTAATCCTAGCACTTTGGGAGGTCAAGGTGGGAGGATCACTTGAGCCCAGGATTCCAGACCAGCATGGGCAACATAACGAGACCCCATCTCTATCACATACACACACAAAAGTCAGGTGTGATAGAGCACACTGTAGTCCCAGCTACTTGGGAGACTGAGGCAGAAGGATCAACTGAGCTGAGGCTGAAGTGACCCCTGATCATGCCACTGCATTCCAGCCTGGGCAACAGCGTGAGACCTCGACTCAAAAAAAAAAAGCTACAGTTAGACAAGGCCTGGTAACCACAAGCTGCAGGTCAGATTCTGCTCCTAGGACAAGACAGTCACCTCACTTCTTTGGACCTCAGTTTCCACTTTTTAGAAAGTAGCCTGGCCGGGCTCAGTGGCTCAGCCTGTAATCCTAGCACTTTGGGAGGCCAAGGCAAGTGGATTGCCTGAACCTGTGGGATCAAGACCAGCCCAGGCAACTTGGCGAGACCTCGTCTCTACATTAAATCAAAAAAATTAGCCGGGCGTGGTAGCACACGCCTGCAGTTCTGGCTACTTGGAAGGCTGAGGTGTTAGGATCGCCTGAGCCCAGCAGGTCAACACTGGGGTGGCCATGACTGTGCCACTACACTCCAGCCTGGGCGACAGAGTAAGACTCTAACTCGAAAGAAAAAAAAAAAAGCCTGACCCAATAACTCCAAAAAGCTGGTTTAGGAGTATAGTAAAGAGGAATTCTATCTCACTCAAATGGGCCTTTCTAAAGAGAAGTGATCATAGGTTTGAAGAATACATTGCCCTGGGGTTTAATCAGGGCTCTCTGAGCTCTCTCAGAGCCTCAATTTACTCATCCATGAAAATGGGGCTAATGATAGCTACCTCACTGGATTGTCATGCAAGTTAAATAAAAAAAATCTACCGAGAGCACTTAGTCTAGTTCCTGGAGAAGTAGACCTTCAGTAAATGTTCATTTCTCTTCGTTTTCGACTCTGAATGTCTTTGATTTGATACCTTTGTTATAGTTTCACAATAATAACATATCCGTATTTAATAACAGGTGGCTGGTCATGAGCCAGTTTAATTGTGGCTTAGGCTGGCTCTGCCACCATCCTGTTTCTTTATCTACAGTCTTTTCTCACTCTCCCTTCACACCTCTCCTGGTCGGTGTCACATGGAGAAGGGAAGCCTCTGATCCACTCAGTTCCATTGAAGAAAGGGACATAATACACATGACCCCTTCCAAGAGACATCAACAAGAGAGGAGGAGGAAGGCAATGCTTACCCATCATAAATGGTCTCTCCCGTGGGGTACTATGAAACAGAAAACAGGGCAGTAGAGAAGATATTTGGGGAGATGAGGTAGAGAGAAGAAGAGTTAGAGGTAAATGAAAGGGAGAGCTTACAGGGCCAGCCTTTCTTTAAACTCTTGACACTAATTTTCAGCTCTATTCACTTTAAAAGTTAATGGTTGATCTGGCCGGAGGGGTTTTCATTTGAGCAGCTGATCAAACCACAGCAGTTGGAATTAAAAAACAAGGTCAGTTTTGCATTCATCCTGCATGAGCCAAAGCTGGGCAAGCCCATCCATCAGCTGAGCCCTGGGCTGGCAGCACCAGTTCACAGTGGCAGAGTAGAAAGAGCACCAAGCTGGATGCCAGGGAAACAGCATTTGAGTTTCAGTTCCACCTCTAGCTCACTGTGTGACCCTGGATGAGTCACTTGATGTCTCTAGGATTTCTATGCTGGCCTTGGTAAAAGATGGGGCTGCATTAGGTGACCCCAAAAGCTCCTCCAAGCGAGAGCTTTCTGTGATCTGAGCGTTGCTAGCTAATGAGAAGAGTTGGAGAGGGATACCACTCTCTCTGTGTGTCGTATCAGCAAAATGACACTACCAAAGATAACCCTCTAGCAAGCAGCTGAGTCACAAAAGCAGAAAAGGGACCTAAAATGAGGAGCAAACTTTCTCAGATCACACGGATAAGAGAAACTTGAAAATTAAGCCTTCTGGGTCTCTACTGATTTGGATAGTGAAGTCAAAACTGAAAGACTGGGGTAAAAAAAAGTCATGTTGAGGACTGACCTCCAGCTGACACAAAAGCACAAGGTAGGTTTTAATAATGGTAATGATAAAAACAATAATGGCCCTGCCTGGCCTACAGTCTCCCATCTACTTTCATATTCTGGAATCGCAGCAAGAGAGGAACATGCCCATTGCCTGATCTCCATGGGAGTTCTAGTTTTGAATAATAAAATATAAGGGCTGAAAATTATATCTCAGTTCAACACGAAGAATATGAAGGAAGCAGGCTTCAAGCCCAACATTGCTCCCAGGAAAAGGATTTCTTTGTTACTCAAATGGGCTTGAAAGGAAATGCCTTAAAAGCGTAATCCAGGAAAAGAGAAATTCACTTAGAGAAGCCATACTTGTCATCGACTAAATGAAAATTAATTTTTAATAAGAGAGAGCCAGACCAGAGGCTACTAAAGCCCTTAAGTTGGCTTTATAGTAAAATCTGGAAAACTGTTTGCTTTTTTAATACATATTTTCAAATTTCACATTTCACAAAATGGCATTAAAATGCAGAAAGCTGCAGCATTAGAGCAGTGAAGGGAAATGAACTTCATAGAAGGCACTTGGAACATTCATCTTCTAGATTGAAGAAAGTTGTCTTAATGGGTATCATCTTGTGGAAGATTTAGCTGAAGCAGAAGACGATACTCAAACCCCCAATGAGAAGAGACAAAATATGGTTGCTGGGGCTCAATGAAATGTTAAAAATGAGCCAGCCTCGGTGGCTCAGCCTGTAATCCTGCGCCTTTGGGAGGCTGAGGTGAGTGGATTGCCTGAGCCCGTGGGTTCGAGACCCGCCTGAGCAGCGAGACCTCATCTCGACAATAAATCAAAAAATCAGCCGGGTGTGGTAGCGCATGCCTGTAATTCCGGCTACTTGGAAGGCTGAGGCGGGAGGATCGCTGGAGCCCTGCAAGTTGAGGCTGCGGTGGCTGGGAGCGGCCACTGCACTCCAGTCTGGGCAGCAGAGTGAGACTCCAACTCAAAAAAAAAAAAAAGAAATGTTAAAAATGCATCAGGGGTGAGGGATGGCGGGATTGGGAGGGAGGGGATTCACATGTTTTCAAGGGTGCTGATTTCAATGATCTGCATAATGATCAGGGATGGCTGGCCATGCTGATGTCTCCTGTAGGCTGACCTCAGGATGCTTAGCAAACAATGCCAATAATAGCTCCCATACTGAACATCTGTCATGTGTCAGATACTTTACTATACATTTTACGTACACTATCTCAATTAACATTCCCAGCAACCCAATGGGATAGTTACTTCTGTTGTACTTATTTTACAAATGTGTAAACTGGGGTCCAGTGTTATATAGTCATACATCTAGGAATTATAGAGCTGGGACTTGAACCCAGATGGCTAGTTCCACATTCAGTAATAACTCTGATGTCCCTATGATCCTTGGGTCTAGGGTGTCTGGGCCTGAGCTGGAAAATATGAAACATCCCATTCCAGAGACTTAGACTGGAGAGATGGACAGAGGGGGATTGTATGTGTGTGTGTGTGTGTGTGTGTGTGTGTGTGCGGCGTGTGTGTGTGTGTGTATGTGTGTGTGTGTGTGTGTGCTCTCATGCATATGCTCTGAGAACACTGAAGAAGGGCCCAGAGTCTGAATTTTAGTAAAGAAGGAAGCAGAGATCAAGACATTGCTGAGTGAACTACTCAATCCATGCACAACCTTGGAATGTCACCCACATTATCTGACACTGTTATTTTTGGGAAATGTCACAAACCACTTGGTCCACTCTACTAAGCAGTAACAT